CAGCCAACACTTGTCCAACAAATGTTTAGTAATAATGTCTATAGACTATAGTAGGATATATTACTCTCTTGGCCATAGATAATAATATTCTAATATTGACCAACATTATTTAAGAGCATGCAGCAACAATCGGCATGATCAGGGAAGTTTAAGCAGAATAAAGTTAAGCAGAATAAAGAATAAAATCATGCAGTTTTGCCAAAATCTGCAATTCAGCGGATCAACAGCCTCAATGAATCATCACTGTCCTAATTTTAACACATATTGTGAAAAGAGGTGAGTAATTCTTAATGCATCAAATAATAAGACTAAGCCTGATACTTGCATGTCTCGCCCATCTGAAAGAGAGAGTCCTGTGTCAGTTTGTTGAGGCTCCAGTTGATGTTTGATGAGAGAGAGGGAGAACTGTTTTGATGCAGAAGATCTTTGATAAACGAAAAAACTGCAGCCTGGAGAAGCTTAAAGGTTTGTGAGGCATCATCATCATCATCATCATCTTCATGTCAAGAAATTCTAATTCTCCCCTTTGTGTTCTTAAGACAGTGATCTGCGGTGATTGCAGATCTAAACGAGATGAGATAAAAGCATGTATATCTTTTTCAAACTCTGAAAAGGCTAAAAAGCACTTAACCTTTGCTAAGAGTTTTAACTGCAAAAAACTAGTTTACCACTGCATTTATCTGCTCATCATATTTCAAAGTAGAATCAAATGCATCCCTTTTTTGTTTTTCCTGAGCATTTAACATGGCCAAGATATCCAACATTTGATTTATGCTACCTGCTGTAGCTACAGGCCAAAACACTATTGCCGTAGTCTTACTCTCTTTAAAAATTGAAATAAAAAAGTTTAAGGGCATCCCAGCTTTCATATCCTACAGACACACGGAGGTAAGAGCTGAGATTAATGATGCTGCTTTGCCTAAAAGACAGAAATTTGAGTGTAGTCAGGATAGCAATGAAACAATACTCTGTGTTTGTTAAAAATCAGTATAGAAGAGAATAAAATAGGGGCAAGAATAGAGCTTTGGGGGACCCCACAGGTCAAAACTGATTTTGTGAGGGAGAAAAAAAAAACATCGACACAGACTGAAAAAGTTCTCTACTTCAGATAGGAATTGAATCAGCTGAGGGCAAAGTGCCCTGAAATAAACAGATAAGAATATATAAGTTAACACACATAAAAGAGCAGATTCTCTTCTGGCACTGTGGTGCTTCCTAAACCCATAGTGAGAGATTTCAAACACACTACTGGATTAAAAAAAACTGGACAGAGAATTAGAAATTAGAAATTGGCCTAAAATTAGATAAGACTTTTCAACACGGGTCTAACATTCATGTACGTAATGGTTCTGTCAACAGGCTTGTTTATGGTAGATAGAATACATGATCCAATGTCATCAAGAGCCTGAGTGAAAAGGCTTACTGGAATAAAATCAAATTTAGATGTAATGGGTTTTAAATGCTGTCAGAAAACCTTGGAGCACTCATCACCTGTGCAATGGCATCTCAACAGTGAAGAAGCGCGGGGGGACTGGTCATGGTAGAAGTAAAGATGAACAAATGAAAATACAGACAAATTCTCAATGAAAACTCGGTCCAAAGCGCTCAGGACCTCAGACTGGGCCAGAGATCCATCTTCCAAAAGGACAAGTATCCTAAGCAAGCCAAGACAATGCAAAAGTGTTTTAGGGATGACTGTGAATATTTAGTGGCCCAGCCAGAGCCCGGATTTGAGAAACTCTGGAGAAACCTGAAAATGTCTGTCCAGTGGCAGCCCCCATCCAACCTGACACAGCTTCAAAGGATATGCAGAGAAAAATGGCAGAAAATCCCCAGATGATTAAAGCTTGTTGAATCATATCCAAAAAGACTTGAGGCTCTAATCACTGCTAGAGCTGAATTACAGGTCAGAATACTTATACTGTACAATCTGGTTATTTCAGCCTGGTTTCAGAGGGGTTTTGAATACTTTTTTTAGCTGTTCAGGCTGGGAGATTGCAGTTTAGGCGTAATTCAGTGACTGATCTTTCTTAGCCACAACACTCTTTTTAAAACAGATGAATGACCAAACTACTGAAAAAATGTTAACTCAATAGCAGACATGTTCACAAGTCCTTAAGGTCCAAGTCCAATCCAAGTCTAAATCTTTGAGGTCTAAATCCAAGTCAAGTCTATTCTATATTTAGCAACAGCCAAACAATTAGAATATAATAATTATATTTGTTATTAATATTAGTAGTAGTATACAGTAATATATTATACTGTAATAAAACTGCAATGTAAAATAAGTGTAATGAAAAATTAATATTTTATAATACATATATTATACAGTTTTACAATAGGCAAACTATACTTTTTTTGTCTTAATTTCTTTACTTGCTGATTCATTTTTTTAATGCAGAAACTTGCAGTTTCAGTGAACACAGGTTTACAAATGTGTCTCATCACAAATCTGGTTAAATACTGTAATAATCCATCTACAATAATTTTGGAAATCATGCAAATCTGAAAATAATTCGTAACTGTCGGCTTTGTGTGCAACTGAAGCCTTTCGCAATGTGGTAAGGACACTAAGCCATATCACGCTTTTGATTTTAGTTTGTTTGACAGATGCTTTGCCAAAGCAATAACTTTAAAGACAGTTTATGTTATTAAGAGAAGTGTAAAAACATCTTCCGTTCATTATGAAACTGTGGCGGCCGCCAGAGAAGGTGATTAATGAGAAACACTGGATTGCATTTCAATTTAAATGACACGAAGAATTTCACAAGGTAAGCCTATGCTATATTGTCGTATATTTAAACGTGTCTCAATAATGCAGACTCAGTGTGTTTAGAGAAGAATTGTTGTGTTATTTGCTGTTGCAGAACATACTGATAGAGAATGAATGAATGAGGAATGAATAGAAAAATACGGTGTTTGATGCTGTGAAAGAAAGAATATAATTGGCAATGACTTGTCTTTTTGACGAGTCTCTGTTTTCAAGTCTAAAGGCCCGTTCACACCAAGCACGATAACTATAAAGATAACGATAAATATATAGTTCTAAAAATCGTTCTCAATATTAAAGAACAGCACCACAGCTATAACGATAAAGGCACAGAGAAACTATATTGTTTGAATCATTTTCAAAACGATTTTTCCTAGCTGATGAACGATAAAAACGTTGACAGCCAATCAGAATCAACCCTGCTATAACGAGCTCAAGAATTTAAAGCGGCAGATGAGCGTGCGCTTAGAATAAACAGACGATATCGTCCGCTGGTGTGGACGCTAATATCGTTATCTTAGTTATCGCTCTTGGTGTGAACAGGGCTCAAGTCTCAAGTCAATTTTTTAAGTGTAGACTTAAGTGTGACTCGAGTCCAAGTCACAGTTTCCATCTCTGCTTAATAGTGTTGCTACTTTCAGACACCAGCTTTGTATTTTTGTCTTTATGTTGTAGCCTGACGAAAGGAAACTAATGTAGAAAATGTTAGTCTGTATGGTGGTAAAAGGGCATTTCATATCTTCTGTAAATCTGGACCAATTAAGAGAGCTGGGAGCCTAAAAATGTTTTATACTCATGCACTCAAAAAGAGGCATGTTCATTCACCACCACTGCCTCCAGATTAGCACCGCCAGAGTCTCATCTGCAAACCGTGGGTGTCTGTAAACGGAGAAGGAAGTTGATGTGTCCCAGGGCATTCATGACTCGAGCCAAATCACACAGACCGATGCACACAGACAACAGCGCGACTGCGTGCCACAGCGTCAGGTCACTCCGAGAATAGCTCTAATCCGAAAAAGGAAGCGTGTATCTACACTAACACCTTTCACAATCTTTTTAAAGCGATTCCCATGATGCAATAGGATGGCTGCAAACTGCTGACTGCCTCCACAAGCCAATCACCGCTCTCTCCTGTTATTTTTGTCATAGTCTCTTTCTCACTCAATTCATTATCTCACAGCACCCTGCAATGTTTTCGGTACATCTTAAGCTACATGCTGGTAAATGGGATGTGGCTCTGTTTCACCACAGCTGTGATTCAGCCATAGGCCAATGTATTGATCTCCATGAAGTGAAGCATTAGATATACCCCCAAATTAATTCTATCTCATGTTTAACCACTACAGAGACATCTGAGCCAGCGGCAAATGTCAGAAGGACTTGCTGAGATAAGGTTGCTCTCGGTGGATCGTCCGGTGATCGCTTGGTCCTCACAACTCTGAAAACACTGGAGCAAATTTTCAAATGGGTGCTGTATTTATAAATGTACCTCAGATTTCAGTGTACATTGTAAACAAATACATTCTTGCCTAGAGCTCTTAAAATGAAATTTTTTGACAACAACACTACTATTTAAAAAAATTAATATACTGATGAAATATGCTTGTCAAGAACTACTTTAACATATGTGACCCTGGAGCACAAAACCAGTCTTAAGTCGCTGGGGTATATTTGTAGCAATAGCCAAAAAAACATTGTATGGGTCAAAATTACCGATTTTTCTTTTATGCCAAAAATCATTAGGATGTAAAGTAAAGATTATGTTCCATGAAGATATTTTGTAAATTTACTACCGTAAATATATCAAAACTTAATTTTTGATTAGTAATATGCATTGCTAAGAACTTCATTTGAACAACTTTAAAGGCGATTTTCTCAGTATTTTGATTTTTTTGCACCCTCAGATTCCAGATTTTCAAATAGTTGTGTCTCGGCCAAATATTGTCCTATCCTAACAAACTTATTTATTCAGCTTTCAGATGATGTATAAATCTACATTTAAAAAAATTGACCCTTATGGTTTTGTGGTCCAGGGTCACATATACTGTATTTTAGTACACAAACTTCCCATTACTGTTGCTTCAATGTCAAATGGTATAAAATCAAAAAATGTGGGTCCTTCTGTTCAATTAACCTTGTTTTTGCAAACAAGTTTGCAACACATTTTAGAAATTTAAGAAAAAAAAAAACATGCAAGTATTTAAGATGTAACAAAAAGCTGAAACTGTACCAGACACAGTCCTGACAACCTCTGTGGTATTTCTCAGGCCAACAAAGGAGAACTGGTAAAGACGCCAAGAGCGGATGTCTCCAACCTCTACCGAGCTGCGCTTCCACTTGTATACAATCTCCTCCTTGGGGTAGCCATCTGCACAAACAAAGAAATGGAGTTGGTCCAAAAACAACAACAACAAATAGCTGCACAGTGGCTATTGGAAAGTAATAAAAAAAGCTGCTTTGGATAAAATGTGTAAGTGCATAAATGTATATGTAAATGTCATTCAGCTAAGACAATTAATTACCCCCCCCCCCAAAAAAAAAGATGTGGATGTTTTCATTCAGCTTTCTTTTTATAATCTATATTAAAATCTACACAAAGCTGATGTTGCAGGGTGATTGTGAAGGAAAGACCAATGCCCCATTATAAAAGTGGAAACTGCCAGGCAGTACTAAATACCAGTGAGTGCAGCAGGGGCATTGGGTAATAGCCTCAAGGTGAGGGCGTGCACAGGGATGAAGTGTACTGACCCTAAGTGACCACCATGATTCAGGGGTCAAAACCTCACTTCAGGCATCTGCTAATTTGGTGGATGAACTGGCCTGCGTTTTCGCAATTATCAGGGAACATGTGTGCGAATGCTTCTCAGGGGACAGAAGACAGAGGCATGAGGGTGCAGCTCGGGCTGGGAAGGGTGAGATAAAAAATGTGAAAAAATGTAAAAAAAAAAAACGTGTTTGAACAGGTCCAAGTATCAGATGGGCAACCCCTGGTTTTGCAAATATTAATGACCTCACGTGACCCGACGCATGAATACAAAAGACAACACGACCTAGTTGTTCCTACCACAGAGCCTTCAGAAGTGTCATTCATGGCAGCTCACCATGATCCTATAACAGGCTTTTACTGGCCAGGCATTTGCAGTAATGTTCACAGATGGTGTGCAACTTCCCGTGAACACAAAAAAGCCCCATTACCTCAAAACCACCATTGTGTCCTTTCCCTTTGATTGAGGTCCCATTCAAGTGAATTTGTATGGACTTGATCAAGCCATTAGAACGCTCAGCACAGGGGCATCACTCTGCTAGACTATGCAAGCTGATGCCCAGAAGCAGTAGTGATCTGTACCATTGCAGCAAAAAGTGTAGCGAAGGCTAGGTATGTGAATATATCTATATATACAGTATCTATATCTATACACATATAATGCATTTGTATATATAATGTATATTTCATACAAAATATTTTAGATTATCAAATGAAATACAACATAACACAAAGGCAACATGATTAAAGGAGTAGTTCACTTTCCAAAATGTTGGGATCCGAACAGTTGATGAGCACCATTGACTTCCATAGTAGGAAAAAAAATACTATGGAAGTCAATGGTGCTCATCAACTGTTCGGATCCCAACATTTTTCAAAATATCTTCTTTTGTGTTCGACAGAAGAAAGAAACTCATACAGGTTTGGAACAAGTGGGGGATGAGTAAATGGTGACAGAATTTTCATTCTGAAAGTGAACTACTCCTTTAAATACATACATATTTAAAGCAATTTGATCACTCATGTGAAAAACTAATTGCCCCCATAAACTTAAAATCTGGTCTTGCTGCATAAGTCAGATGCACTCAAGCCTCAACTGACAGAATGAATCAGTAATCTTCCATGTTGTCCTTTGGGTCTTTTGTGACTTCTGGATGAGTCCCCGCTATGCTCTTGGACAACATTTTGGAAGGTCGGCCACTTCTGGAAAGGTTTCTTCTGCTAGTTCTTCTATTTGGAGATAATGGCTCTCACTATGCTTCTCTGGAGTCCAAGAGCCTTTGACACAGCTTTGTAACCCTTCCCAGACTGATGTAGTTCCATCACCTTCTTCCTCATCATTTCTGGAATTTGTTGTAACTGGCATAGTGTGTTGCTGGTTAAGACTCTTTAGCAAACACCATACTGTTGAAAAAGTTTTATTTAAGTGTTGATTTAATTGAAGAGAGCTGGCAGTAGTTAGGCCTGGTTGTGTCTAGTTCAGTTGGACCCCATTATAAATGCAGTTTCATCTATTTGGGAATTAGTAGCTACAGGGGCAAATACAATTGCACACAGGCCCAGCTGATATTAAATAACTTTTTTGGCTTCCATAAAAAACATTATGATTTAAAAACTGTATTTTGTGTTTACTCCGGTTGCCTTTGTTTTATGTTAGATATTGTTTTTATTTCTAAAACAAATTAGTATAGAGGAGTACACAAAAACAGAAGAAATCAGGACAAACACTTTTTCACAACACTGTACACACACACACACACACACACGCACGCACACATGCACACACGCGCACACACACACACACACACACACACACACACACACACACATGTTGGGTTTCCATGTTTTATGGGTTCATTCCATTGGCCTAATGGTTTTTGATACTGTACAGATCATTCTGTATGATTTATAAGCTGTTTTTCTCATTGGGACCAAAACAACAAAAAAACAAACAAACAAAAAAATGTCCCCACAAGGACAAGGATTTTGGATATTGCCATTTTTTCTCAATAACGTAGGGTATACACAACTAAACAACTGAAAGGGATAATTCACCCAAAAATGAAAATTAGTTAAAATTATTTACTCACCCTCAAGGCATCCTAGGAGTATATGACTTTCTTCTTTCAGACGAATCCAATCGGAGTTAAATTTAAAAATGTCCTGGCTCTTCCAAGCTTTATAATGGCAGTGGGTGGGTGCTTTTGTTCAGCAGTCCAAAAGAAGTCCAATAACGCCGACATCCTACGTCATCCGCCGGAAAGGCACTCTCTCGTGAACACACAACTGTACGACAGTTAGCGGAAGTGAGAGAAAAGTGCTTATAATGTTTTAAATATCAATATTTTTCTTACAAAAACGCATTGATTCGCAACAGGAGGCCTTTATTCATAAATATAATTTTAATATAACTCCAATTGGATTCGTCTGAATGAAGAAAGTAATATACACCTAGGATGCCTTGAGGGTGAGTAAATCATGGGTTAATTTTCATTTTTGGGGGAACTACCCCTTTAAAGGCAATGAAAATGAATGTAGCATTGAATTGTGACAAAGAAGGAATGCACAGTTAGGTCACTAAACACAGTCTTTTAAAAAAAGTCTATTTAAAAAATATATACTGTATATATATATATTTGGGCTGTCAACATTAGCGTGTTTACACAGGCAATACATTTTTTTAGTTTTCAAATCTGTCCTGGAACAGCCCAGCACTCTCTTCCTCATCTAACACGCCCGATTCATCTAGTCTGTTCATTAGTAGAGACTTTCAGACCTGAAGTGGGTCAGAAAAGGCAAAGAGAGTTGAGAGAAAATGCGATGCTTGTCAGATCCGTGTCACGTTCTGCAGCGGCAGCTCTTAAAGTAATAGCAGCAAAATAATCTAATGACCCAGTTGCTGTGATATCTGTTCATCAAAGAAAAAAAAAGAAAAAAAGAGGAAATCAATAACTTTTATAGCATTAAGGATTCATCTATATTTAATTTAGAATTTTGATAACTTTATTCAATTTCTGTATATTTCTGCTGAAGGGCACAGGTAGCAAATATGACATTTATTGTAATGGGTTTATGTGAAGATTGTTTTAAGTTCATTTAAATAAAAAAAAATATATTTTTTTTAAGTCTAATAAATGTTAAAATTGATAGCTCTCATTTATACTCATATTGTCATATTGAATGGCTAGTGTCAATGGTTAAATATTAGGCGGAAAAACAATTTTATAGAGACATCAATAGTATTGGTATCAGTGATACTGGCCTTCCGTCATAAAAAAGATGCCATTAAACAAATATTAAAAATATACTGTCTTTATGTTGTGTGTACATTAATTTAAAGATTGTAAAAATTATTACAATATAAAAGTATATTTAAAAACTTTAATGTTAGGTTACAGAAATAGCCTGTTTAGTGACCTAACTGTGCATTCCTTCATTAAACAGCTGCAGAACTTCAAGACATCAAAGGATTGATATCTTAAGTTCTTTTCCACAAACTCACTGTCAGTCCATGTGGGTTGAGAAAGAAGTGTGGTTTTCAAAGCACAAGGAGACACAAGCTCACTAGCTTCTTCCCACTGATAATCTACAAGAACAATTTGCAACTCTCATAAAATAACACATTTTCCTTTCTAGGAAAACCACTCTGTTTTTTCATTTCTTTTGAAACTACAGATGATGCTGTCCCATTAGACTGTCCACGGTGCATCTGCTGCTTCATTATTACCATCATAAACCATTTCCCCTACATCTCCTCCAAAGTCAAAGGACAGGAAGAATTCCATGGCAGTGGTTTCTTCCTGGCACAGCTTGCTCGTGTGAGCATGTGAAGACACGTCTCTCCACATTAGGCCAAATTGTCACTCTCCTCATTATCTGTCCTTCATATTTCAGGACGAAAATAGAAGTGAAATGTCAGTATTAGCATCCTAAAAATGGTTTCTATGCTCTCAGCCGCATCTGAGTGTGGAAGCAGACATGAGGTGTAGAAAACTGTAGAGAAAAAGCAATAAAGAATGGAAGAGATGTGGATGGATTTGCATGTAGGGCATATGGCCAGACTTACAGCTTGAGAACTCCAGGGGACATGAATGTTCATCCATTGGAAAGTTATTCAGTTTAAGCTGGCACTCTGCATCAATGGTCAACCTACAGACAGAAATTTCCTTAATTAAATGTCTTTTTATAAGCCATTTCATTAGCACACCCCGCATTTATATGGACGGCGCTAGAATAAGCTGATGTTTTATCAATGGTACCCAGCAAAACTCCTAATTTGCTGCTTATTGATAGTAAGAGAGGTAGTTGTTGTAGTAGTTTTGTTTAAGTATAGGGTAGATCTAGAATATGCTCATGCATTAATACTGTATAAGCACTAATAAACAATAATAAGCCACTTGTTAATAGTGAATAGTGTTATCATTAAATCATATATTTTTATACATACTTAAAGTGTATCTTATTTGAGTAAGACTTATTCAGAATGTCTTAAAGTGACATTTAGCAAATTATATTTATAATTTTGTTTGTGTTCATATTGAGTTTAACACAGTGCTTGATCTGAGTGGCATGCTCCTCACTGACAAAAAGCTTCTGTAAAAACACTATCCTATTTTAAATAATAGCATTGTGTTTTATGTAAAACGTATCATGCAAATGAAAATTACAATACTGTTTGACCATTTACGAACACCAAGAGGGCAGTGAAAAGACATCTTTTGATGTTCTTTAAAAAAGAAGAAAACAGAATCAAAATCAGTATTTCACAACATTCCTTTGAAGAGCAGCTGACATCAAGTACATTCAATGAGGAATCCTCGTTACGGTTGCATTTAGTTACTGAAAACAAATGCAGTCACCAATGTCATGTAAATGTGTTTATTCACAAAAAAAGTCAGGTTTTAGTCCATCAAATGTTGAGGTATTTTCCTATGCTAATGGCTCGAAAGCAGCACCTTTAGCCTTTATCTGCTGTTTTTATCCAGTTATTTAGAACAGAAAGGATGCTCACTGCACATGTGAGGGACTCAGAGATAACAATCCAAATGACGACAGAGAGAGAGAGAGAGAAAGAGGATGTGTTCCATTCAGAATCACTAATCACTTACTCCCTTCAAAGTCTTTACCATTCACTGTGAAAGCTTTTGAGCACTGGAAGGTGTGTGGCCATCTGAAACTCACTATTAGAGCTATTTTCTTATTACAAAATGTGTTTAGAATGAGGTTAGAGCATGGCAATAATGATTACACTATATAAACCCTTCACAGTGCCCTCCGAAGGCAACGATCGATGGGAGTGTGTGTGTGTGTGTGTGTGTGTGTGTGTGTGTGAGGGAGGGAGAGTGAGAGAGTGAGTCTGGTGAACAGTCAAACAAGATTACACTTATATACAGTATTATGAAACTTATATTTTGGTAAATATTTTAATGATTAAACAAATTTGTAATCATTATGTAAGGTAAGCTACGCAGAAAAAAATATCTGACCACACCCAAACCTTGAATTATTATTATTATTATTATTATTATTATTATGCAAACCTACCGAGGGTTTAACATACTAAGGATTAAATGGACTTGCTCTCAGGTGACATTTAATCAAAAACAAACAAACAAACAAACAGACAGACAGACAGACAAAAATAAATGAATAAATAAATAAATAAATAAATAAATAAGGATCACTCCTGAAGCATTGTAATTGTGTATATATATATATATATATATACACATACATAATGCATATGTATATTTATTAGTGTTATCAAATGATTAATTGCGATTAATCCCATCCAAAATAAAAGTTTTTATATTGTTACATACATATATAAAGTTTTTATACATTATATATGTATGTGTATTGTGTATATTTATTATGTATATATAAATACACACACATACAGTATATATTTTGAAAATATTT